TGCATCAGAGAGCATGTGCTTCCAAAAGGATCCTGGTTTCCTGTTTTCATTAACAAAACAGGAAAAAAAAGGAATGCCTGTGCTTCCGGGGTCTTTTCCAAGAAGTCTTTGCCAGTACCTATATCTTGCAGGGTTTCTCCAATGTTCTCTAATAATTGGATGGTGTCGGTTCGTAGATTTAGGTCTTTAATCCATGTTGAGTGGATTTTTGTGTAAGGTGAAAGGTAGGGGTCTTGCTTCATGCTTCTGCACGTGGAAATCCAGTTTTTCCAGCACTATTTATTGAATAGACTGTCCTTGCTCCAGGAATTGGTTTTGGACCCTTGATCAAATATAAGTTGGCTGTAGATGTTTGGATTGATTTCTGGTGTTTCTATTCTGTTCCATTGGTCTATCCATCTGTTTCTGTACCAGTACCATGCTGTTTTGATTACAACTGCCCTGTAGTATGCCCTGAAATCTGGTATTGTGATGCCTCCGGCTTTGTTTTTGTTGTACAAGATTGCTTTAGCTATTCAAAGTCTCCTGTGTCTCCATATGAATTTCAGCATCATTTTGTCCAGATCTGAGAAGAATGCCTTTGGTATTTTGATTGGTATCGCATTGAATCTATAAATTGCTTTTGGGAGAATGGACATTTTGATGATACTGATTCTTCTAATCCATGAGCATGGAAGATTTTTCCATTTTTTGGTATCCTCTTCTATTTCTTTCTGTAAGATTTTGTAATTCTCATCATAGAGATCTTTAACGTCCTTAGTTAAGTTTATTCCAAGGTATTTGATTGTTTTTGTGGCTATTGTGAATGGGATTGATCTTAGAAGTTCTTTCTCAGCCATGGCATTGCCTATGTATACAAAGGCTGTTGATTTTTGTGCATTGATTTTATATCCTGCTACTTTGCCAAAATCTTCTATTCCAATAGTCTCTTAGTAGAATTCTTTGGATCCCCCTAAATAATGAATCATATCATCTTCCTTCCCAATTTGTATCCCTTTAATTTCTTTTTCTTGCCTAATGGCTCTGGCTAAAACTTCTAGAACTATATTGAATAGCAGTGGTGAGAGTGGGCATCCCTGTCTGGTACCAGATCTCAGTGGAAATGCTTCCAACTTTTCTCCATTCAATAGGATGCTAGCCTTTTAGTATTTTTTTTTTGTCCTACTTAATACTATTGGTTGAACTCTGTAAATAACACACAATTATTCTTAGGTGTTTAAATTTAACTGAAAAGTGATCTCTGTTAAATATAAGAGTGGGAATAAGAGAGGGAGGAGAGGTACAGTTTGGGACATGCTCAATCGGACTTGCCCCAAATGGTAGAGTTACAAACGTGCCAGGGGATTCCAATTCAATCCCATCAAGGTGGCATGTACCAATGCCATCTCACTAATCAAAGTGATTAATTTCAGTTCACAGTTGATCATAATGATAGGACTAAGAGTCAAAGGGATCACAAAAACAAGACTAGTGTCTGCTAATACTAACTGATAGAATCAAAAAGGGAGAGAACGATCCAACATGGGAAGCAGGATACACAGCAGACTCATAGAATGGCAGGTGTCCTAAACAGCACTCTGGCCTCAGAATTAGCCCTTAAGGCATTCGGATCTGGCTGAAGAGCCCATGAGAGTATTTTAGGCATGGAAAGCCAAGACACTCTGGCAAAAAAAAAAAAAAAAAAAAGACTTAAATGAAAGATCTCTACGAGTGAGATCCCAATAGAAAGAACAGGCCATCAAAGAAGGAGATACCTTTCTCTGAAGGGAGGAGAGAACTTCCACTTTGACTATGACCTTGTCTAAATAAGATTGGAGTCGGCAAACTCAAAAGGCTTCCATAGCTTTGGCAACTCATGACAACAGCCTAGGGTGATTACTGATGCCAAAAACAAGAGTGTCAAATTGTTAAGTCAACAACAGGAGTCACTGTGCACTTACTCCTCATGTGGGATCTCTGTCCTTAATGTGTTGTTCAATATGAATTAATGCTATAACTAGTACTGAAACAGTACTTTACACTTTGTGTTTCTGTGTGGGTGCAAACTGTTGAAATCTTTACTTAATATATACTGAATTGATCTGTATACAAAGAGAATTGAAAATGAATCTTGATGTGAATGGAATGGGAAAGGGAGCGGGAGAGGGGAGGGTTGCGGGTGGGAGGGAAGTTATGGGGGGGGGAGCCACTGTAATCCATAAACTGTACTTTGGAAATTTATATTTATATTTATTAAATAAAAGTTAAAAAAAAAAAAAAAAACAGGGAATGCCGAAGTGTTGAGCGTGTTGGGGGGTGGTGGCCCGAAGCCCAGCCAACTTCATTGGTGAAAACGCCGCTTAGGGTGTTTTTGCATGGCCTGTTGGAGCAGAGTTTGTGCAAAAGTTGAAGGTCTCCTTAAGGGGCGTGGACCCAGGGCCGTCGGGCGGGGTCAAGCAGCGGGAGCCAGCTGGAGAGCTGTGTGGGGGGAGCGCCGAGCTGAGCAGTTTTGCGGACCCCTCTTGCCTGGGGCTGGGACCCCACAGCGACCCCACGGGGGTGCAGGGGGGTTCCGGGTGTGACACCGGAGCCTGCACTTTCTCTTTGCTTGCGGGTTTCAGACAGCGCTGGAAACAGGTCTGGCGGCATGCTTTGTGTGAGTGCTCTCTCCCTGTGGAGTTGGAAGTTGAAAGGAAGGGCGGAAAGACAGGTTTTGTGAGCGGTGCTCTTGGGTCAGCTCTCCCGAGCCTGGGGCTGTGAAAGGATGGATGCAGACCCTTCCTTCAAGTCCAGTCCACCCCGCGCTGGTGCCTGCCTTCTAACAGCCAGAGCAGTTTCATATTGCTTTAGATGGAGACGCTAGGAAAACCTGCCCCTTTTCCCTCTTTGGGGCTAGGTTTTTCTGCTTGACTTTCCAGTCTTTTGGAAGAAAGGGCAAATGGGGACAAAAGGGTTATTCTGAGAATTTTGCTATGAATGGGGCAGTGTATATAGCCTCAGGAGTGCAGACTGGCAGCCCTGGCTGGCCTGGGGGTGGGGGTCCTTAGGCTTGTTTTCCTGAAATGGTGGTTTGAAAAACAATGCATGGATTGAAAAGGTTTTTGCACCAAAATACACTTACCTTAGATTTATTTTTTTTTAATGTTTGGGAACAGAGACACGGGGAGCTCACATCTGCTGGTTCTCTCCTGAAATTCTGGCAAGAGCCAGTGTCGGGCCAGGCTGAGGCCAGCAGCTGGGGATGCAGTCCAGGTCTCCCATGGGGGTGTTAGGGACAGTGATGGAACCAGGACAGAAGCCTCAGCCATGCTTGCTCATTGCCCAAAAGAGATAAACATTGGAAGGTCTTCCTTGCCTCTGAATCTCAGTTGGGTCCCACACCCTATTGCCTTCATACCCCACCCCCCAGGGAAGACCAGTTCCAGGAAATCCCCTCTGCCTTCTGCCCCCTGCCTCACCCCCATCCCTAGCCCTCCTAAAATATAAAAAGGTCCCAGGCCTTGGGGGTCAGGGTCTTCTGCCAGGTGCTCCTTCAAGGTGCCCGTGGGCAGTTGGTCACCCACCTCTATGAATTATTTTCTCTGAATAAATTTGGTCTGGCTGTAAATCATACACTGCCTCCTCTGTTCTGCACCTCTTTTTTCCTACATTTTGCTGCCCTGTTTGAAGAGGCACCAATCTGCAACTCTTTTCCTAACAGGTGCCACTGCTTGAGCCATCACCTGCTGCTTCCCCAGGTACATAGGAGCAGGAATCAGGAACCAGAGCCAGAGCGGGGCATCAAACCCAGGTGCTCTGATATGAGGTGCAGGCTTCTTATTTGCCAGGCACCGAACTTTTATCTTTTAATTCAGTTTTCCGTGAACTTTTTGAAGTACTTTTTGATGTACTTGAACCTTGACATTAATCAGGTGGGTTTGTGTACCCAGCCTAGAGGCAGGAATGCAAATGGCTTACATTTTCACTCACTGCTTTGGGGTCCTTTCCATAGCTCTAAACTGCGGAGCTTGTTAGTATGGCTTGAGAAAAATAACGTTCTTTGACCTTACAATCCAAACAGATAAAAATGGCCTTGCTTTTAAATTTGAAACGTGTAGCTCAGGTCAGCAGTGCAAGGTCTCTGCTCTGAAAGGTTCTTGTGTTTCCTTTTTAAAATGTTTGGTTTAGCTGCAAGTGGCATTTACTGAATGCCACGTGACCCAGTAGTTGGAGTCTGGGTTTGCCCTTTGTTTTGATTCTCCTTTGCAACTCTGTGGATTCATCATAAAGACAGAAGAAGTGTCCTTGAGATCATAAATGTTTTGTCCAGAGGGGAGACAGCTTGGCTCTAGTTGGAGGAGAGTTTGGCTGTGGTTTTACATGGTGAGAAATTGGGAAGTGGAAGATACAAAGTAGAACAGCGGCTGTCCTCTGTTTGTGCTCTTGCACCTGTGCTGCAGGAGCCGCGCCGACATCCTGCGTCCTGGCCTTCTTAGCCAGGAAGGCATCAAGGCCAGCTGTGAGCTTGTGGGGGTGGTCGGGGTCCAACGGACCTGTGCCAGGGCTAGCGGGGAGAACAGGCCCGCTGGATCTGCTCTGCCTCTGCCACTCTGCCGCTGGCCTCCAGCTTTCTGGGCCCCGGGCAACGCTTGGTAAATAGGGATCGTAGTGTCTGCTCACCATACTGCAGGGACCTGCAGAGGACAAATGTGCCCTATCTGACCGTGCTTTCAAGTTCTGAAAATGCATTCTTTTAAAAATAAGGTATCAAGGGTTTGCTTTGTTTTTAGCTGTTGAAAATTGTCATCCCATATATTCTTTATGAATGAAATATGCATCTCTATTTTTACTCATGGGGAAACTCAAGTTCAGAGAGGTTTAGTAACTGGCTTGCCCAGCTCAGCAGATGGCAAGATGAGAACATGTGTCTGTCAACTCTTAAAATCGTGCCTGCTTGCCGCGTTGCAGCATACTCAGCTGCTAGTTCTTACCACGAAGTGTGTGAGACAAAACGGTGATGTCCTCTTTGCTCTCTCTGCCAGGAACAGCAGATGATGTCCTGAATGGAGACCATGACAAGGAGCAGAAAGACCCCTACTTTGTGGAGACCCCTTATGGTTACCAGCTAGACCTGGATTTTCTCAAATACGTGGACGACATACAGAAGGGCAACACCATCAAGAAACTGAACATCCAGAAGAGGCGGAAGCCATCCGTGCCATGTTCGGAAGCCAGGGCCGCACCTGGTCAGCAAGCTGTGTGGACTTCCACCGACTCCTTGTCGTCCTCCAACAGTGATGACAGCAAGCAGTGCCCCAGCTTCCTCCTAGCCAGAAGCCAAGTCACGTCGACTCCAGTCTCAAGGCCGCCTGCCCCTCTGGAGAGCTCACCTGCCTTTCTTACCATCCCAGAAAATCGGCAGCTGCCACCGCCGTCGCCACAGCTCCCAAAGCACAATCTTCATGTCACCAAGACGCTGATGGAGACCCGGAGGAGACTTGAGCAGGAGAGAGTCACCATGCAGGTGACCCCGGGTGAGTTCAGAAGGCCCAGGCTGGCCAGTTTCGGAGGCCTGGGCTCCACCAGCTCCCTCCCCTCCTACATGGGCTCTGCAAACCACAATTCCGCCATGCACCAGCTTCAGAATGGATACCAAGGCAACGGGGATTATGGTGGCTATGCCCCGGTAGCCGCCACCACTTCCTCCATGGGGAGCTCCATCCGCCACAGCCCCCTGAGCTCAGGAATCTCCACCCCAGTGACCAACGTGAGCCCCATGCACCTGCAGCACATCCGTGAGCAGATGGCCATTGCCCTGAAACGCCTGAAGGAGCTCGAGGAGCAGGTGCGAACCATCCCTGTGCTCCAGGTTAAGATCTCCGTCTTGCAAGAGGAGAAAAGGCAGTTGGCCTCACAGCTCAAAGACCAAAGGGCTGCATCGCAGAACGATGCCTGGGGGGTGAGGAAGCGGTCGTACAGCGCGGGGAATGCCTCCCAGCTGGACCAGCTGTCCCGGACCCGGAGAGGTGGCGGGGAGCTGTACATTGACTATGAGGAGGGCGAGATGGAGAGCGCAGAGCAGAGCACCCAGAGGATAAGGGAGTTCCGGCAGCTCACCGCCGACATGCAGGCCCTGGAGCAGAAGATCCAGGACAGCAGCGGCGACGCCTCCTGGGAGCCCACGGAGAACGGGCAGTGCCGGCCGCGGGAGTGCCGCTCGGTGGCGGTGGGTGCCGATGAGGACATGAACGCCACCGTGGTCTACCACCGGGGCTCCCGGGGCTGCAGAGATGCCGCCGTAGGGACAGTCACTGAAACGAGGAATTCTGGGGTCAGCGTGACAGAGGCCATGCTTGGAGTGACTACTGAGGCTGACAAAGAAATTGAGCTGCAACAGCAGACCATAGATGCCCTCAAGGAGAAGATCTACCGCCTGGAAGTGCAGCTGAAGGAAACCACACACGACCGTGAGATGACGAAGCTCAAACAGGAACTGCAGGCTGCCGGATCCAGGAAGAGAGCTGACAAAGCCACCATGGCCCAGCCCCTGGTTTTCAGCCAGATGGTGGAGGCAGTGGTGCAGACGAGAGACCAGATGGTTGGCCGGCATGTGGACATGGTAAACGCGTGTGTCGGGACCTCCGTGCAGACAAAGAGCGTGGGCATCTCCTGCCAGCCTGAAGGTAAGGATCAAGACGCCGGGCCTGAGCTGCCCATGAGCTGCTGGGTTGTTAAGGAGAGGGTGGAAACCCGTGACCAGTGCACCGGGAGGACCCTGGACACCTGCGACAAGAGCGTGGGTGTGGAAGTCAGCGTCTGCGAAACGGGGAGCAACACGGAGGAGTCTGTGAACGACCTGACACTCCTCAAGACAAACCTGCATCTCAAAGACGTGAGGTCCATCGGCTGCGGAGACTGCTCCGTCGACGTCATGGTCTGCTCCCCGACGGAGCGCGCCTCCCGGAGCGTGAACACTGAGGCCGTGGGCCGGGTGGAAGTTGCTGTCACGGCGGCGCCGCACACCACAGACCGGCACACCAGCACCGCCTTGCAGCAGGCCAGCCAGTCCACCAACACCGAGACGGCCTCCTTTGCTGAGGCCAGCACCAACACCTGCCTTAGTACTTTAGACAAGCAGACCAGCACGCAGACCGTGGAGACACGGACAGTGGCCGTAGGAGAAGGCCGCGTCAGGGACGTCAACTCCTCCACCAAGACTCGGTCTGTCGGGGTGGGAACGGTGCTCTCCGGCAATTCTGGGCTTGACAGGCCGTCTGCTGTGAAGACCAAAGAGTCGGGCGTGGGGCAGATCAATATTAACGACAGCTATCTGGTGGGACTCAAAATGAGGACCATAGCGTGTGGGCCTCCACAGCTGACGGTGGGACCGGTGGCCAGCAGAAGGAGCGTGGGGGTTGGGGATGAGCCGGTAGGGGAGTTCCTGGAGAACCCCCAGGCCCAGGCTCCGTCTGGGGTGATGACCAGCTTGGATCACTACATTGAGCGCGTCCAGAAGCTCCTGGCAGAGCAGCAGACGCTGCTGGCCGAGAACTACAGTGAACTGGCAGAGGCTTTTGGGGAACCTCACTCGCAGATTGGCTCCCTCAACTCCCAGCTCATCAGCACCCTGTCGTCCATCAACTCTGTCATGAAGTCTGCAAGCACCGAAGGGCTGAGGAACCCCGACCTGCAGAAAATCCGTCTGGGTGACATGACAGGTAGGTGGCACCCGCGGGGGCCTGGGCGTGGGAACGTGGCTTGGTCCATTTTCTGTTGCTGTGTGTGGACTGCCAGGGCCTGTGTCATTTATAAAGAACACAGGCTTCTTTGGGTCACTGTTCTGGAGGTGAGGAGGGCCTAAGAGCGTGGCACCAGCGTCTGCGTGGTGTCTGGCGAGGGCTTTCTTGCTGAGGCATCACGTGGCACGGGGCCTCGCATGCTGAGACCAAGCAAGCTCACTTTATCCCGCGGGAACTCCCACGGTAGCCACAGTGATCTACAGCCCAAATTAACACAGCGAGGCCACTCACGAGGGCAGGCGGAGTAAGCTTCCAGCTCCTGAACTTAAACGGGGCTGCAGGCAGGACCGCGGAGGCTATCTTTCCAGGGAGTTCGGCTTGTTTCTGATGGCTGGGGCTGTTTTTTGAAACCACGGAGTAAGTTTCAGAGGGGGTAATGGGCAGAATGAAAACCAGGAATCAAACTCCATAAGCAACTCTGGATTCCAGTATCTGGTAGCTTTGTTGGCTTCTGGCTGAAGACTCGAGCTGTGAGAAAGATGAGCCAGTGTTGCCTGGCCTAGAAGTTGTCTTTGAGCGCTGCCAGTGGTTTTGTGATTTTGGTTTTGTTTGTTTGTTTGTTTAATTACTAAGAGGGATAGTGGGAGAGAGACACACACAGTAGAGAGAGATTTTTGATCCACTAGTTCACTCTGCAAATTCCAGGGCTGAGCCAGGCTGAAGCTTGGAGTCCAGAACTCTATCCAGGTCTTCTGCATGGCCAGCAGGGACCCAAGAACTTGAGCTGTCACCTGCTGCCTCCCAGGGTGTGCATTAGCAGGAAGTTGGAAGTAGAGAAGTAGAGAAGTTGGGGCTGAAACCAGGCACTGCGATCATGGGATGCTGGCATCCTAAGCAGAGATGGAAGCTCTGTGCCACCTGCCCATCCCAGGGGCTGCCAGTGTGTTACGATGTTTTATTCTTGATCTTCCAGTTACATACTTAGCATACTCACCCATTTTACACAGCATTGCCTGGGGGAAGGAATCCTATACTGTCTGTACCCACAGCTGTCAGTATATTGTCAATTCAAAGTACTGGTATAACATGTTTGCAGTTAAAGTTTTATGAGCAGAAAGACACCCCATTAATTCCCTAACACAGCAGGTGACTGCTGACTTCCTGCTGTATGTGAAGCGTGGGGACAGGCTCTGAGGATGCTGCAGTTGTCCTTATGGTGCCCACCTGCTAGTTACGGGTTCGTAACTCGAGGGTGCATCAACACTTTCATGAAAAAAACTGTGTGGATTTCAGGGTTTATGTACAGTAGAATAAGCTTATCTTTTAGTTCCATTTTTCTGCAAACAGTTTGAAGCCTCCTTGAATGGCAGGATGTGATAGGTGCTGAGGGGACAGTGACACTCTGAGGGCACAGAGGGTGGCAGTGGTCAGGGGTCCAGCTCTTTGAGCTGTGAGGCGGTCAAAGCAGGAGTCTCTGACTAGGGAGCCTGGAGCCGCAACTCTGGAGTCTTTCCCCACTTTTCCTTATTATGGTGCTTCCATGTTTTGTGTGTCTCACTCTTCCTCCTTTGTATTTATTCTTGCTCACGTCTTCTTTATTTTTTTTTTTTATTATTATTTTTTTTTTTGACAGGCAGAGTGGACAGTGAGAGAGAGAGACAGAGAGAAAGGTCTTCCTTTGCCATTGGTTCACCCTCCAATGGCCACCGCGGCCGGCGCGCTGCGGCTAGCGCACCACGCTGATCCGATGGCAGGAGCCAGGAGCCAGGTGCTTTTCCTGGTCTCCCATGGGGTGCAGGGCCCAAGCACCTGGGCCATCCTCCACTGCACTCCCTGGCCACAGCAGAGGGCTGGCCTGGAAGAGGGGCAACCGGGATAGAATCCGGCGCCCCAACCGGGACTAGAACCCGGTGTGCCGGCGCCGCTAGGCGGAGGATTAGCCTAGTGAGCCGCGGCGCCGGCGCTCACCTCTTCTTTAAACGGAAGCCGATGATCCAGAGTTACACTGAGGTCCTGGGCCTCACTGCCTGGCTCCTCATGGTCATGTTCCTCTGTGCCAGGGCTCACTCACCTCACCCAGGGGCAACGCTGTGCAGTAAGTTAATCCTGTGACAGTGTGCAGCATGGACTTAGGCACGCTATCCACAAACACTCCTTCTGTTGCCCTTTATAGCCTGAGATTGAATGAAATGGACTGAAATAGATTATTACTTAGCATTGGCTCTTGGTATCTGTGCTGTGGGACAGTTTCTTGTGGAAAAGAAAATAATAAACCTGACAACTGAGGTGTAGATTTGCGCCCCTTAGTATCCAAAGACTTTACTAGCGTTATAGGGGGCATTTCCAAATTCTCAGAATTAAAATGTTAAGGGGAGTGAAGCAAACTCTTAAGGAACTAATGCTGTGTCTGCTTCCACATGCTTTCAAAATTAGGTCAGATGTTAGTCAAAATACAATTCTTCCAGACATGGAAGGCACAGGATCATCGCTGTGAAAGCAGTTTCTTCCTGGCCTTCCTGAACTCCTCAGACTGGGGTTTCTGTTTCACATTCCTGCTGAAAAAACCCAGCTGCAACACTGAGGGCCACGCACTGAGCACCGAGGCCAGGAAGGTGTGCTGGGATCTGCTTGCAGCCCTGCTGATGTCCCACACATCACCGCGGGGATCTGACCCTGAACATGAATCCCTCATTAATTGGCTAAAACACAGGAGACTACAGCATTTGTGGCCTGAGGAGCAGATGGGTTTAGTAGCACTCTGTCGTTGGAGTGGCGGCCCACACTCAGGGCACGCCGGCATGTCTTAGGATGCTGACTTCCTGTTTGTACTTGAACCATTTGACTCTCAAGTTCTGTTGAGGAAGGGATCAAGTTGGGAACTCAACCAAGCAGAGCATTTGATTTCTGTGACTTGGTGATTGGCAATACGGGGTGATTGAGGAAGCAGCTTGGTGTAGTCAGGTGGAGAGATTCTCAAGTCCCCCGTGGCTGTGGGGTGAGGCTGTGTCCAAAGGCATGCGGGCTCACTGTGCACACCCCACAGTGCACAGAGCTGCTCACATAGACTAGAACACCTGTCTCTGCTGGAAGACTGTGCAGTACAGAAAGGCATTCATTTCAAACTTGTTGCCGAAACAGAGAAATTGGGCTCGATATCTGCCCAAAAGCACATGCAGCTAATCCCTTCCATGAGCCTGATCCCTTGTTTTTTAATTGCTGTGAAGTGTGCACTCTGAAGCCACACAGCCTGTTCAGCTGTGCTCTCTGCCACCAGCACACGTTGTCTTTGTTCCCTCGCGGGGTGGTCATGAAGACTGAGCTGGTGGCAGGGACACACGGCAGCAGCTGGCAGCCCGGAGCGGAAGTGCTCAGCAGAAGTTGGCCGTCGCTGTCGCCCTGTGAGGCCTTGCCGAAGCGGGGATGTGGATGAGCAGAGCTTGCCAAACAAAAATCACCCAGAGGTCTTTTAGGTCCTCATACTTCTAGAGACTAATGCCCCCCCCCCCGCCCGCCCCATTATTATGCCTCCCCACCTAACTATGTTATCAAGATAATTACGTAGATAAAAATAGGAAAACTTGAAATTAACACGATAAATTTTCTATCCAGAGCCATTCAGAATCCACATCAAAGGCAAAAATAAAGTGTGTTTAAACAAAATTTGAATCACAGTTTACCTATTTTGCACGTGCACACACACACCCCTAAAAAGTCATAGACATTTTTCTCAGACTTGAAAGACAGTGTCGGGCTGGTGCGTGACTCACTTGGTTAATCTAACTCCGCCTGCGGCACCGGCATCCCATATGGGCGCCGGGTTCTAGTCCCAGTTGCTCCTCTTCCAGTCCAGGTCTCTGCTGTGGCCTGGGAAGGCAATACTTGGGCCCCTGCATAGGAGACCAGGAGGAAGAAACTGGCTCCTGGCTTCAGATCAGTGTAGCTCCGGCTGTAGTGGCCATTTTGAGGGTGAACCAATGGAAGGAAGACCTTTCTCTCTGTCTCTATCTCTCCCTAACTCTATCTGTCAAATAAAACAATAAATAAATAAAAATTTAAAAAAGACAGTGTCACTGCTTTGATGCACCTATAATTTGGTAGTGACCAAAGGTGTTCTGTGGAGTGTTTTAAAATTCCTGGTAGTATAAATTTAATGTATTTTTTATGGAATAAAAACTTAAGAGGTAATAAGTTTCTTCTGTCAAGAAAAACTTCAAGAAAAAAATGTTTTTCCTGTAAATCAGTTGAATTCTTTTGGTATAAGGAGTGGCTCATGTTTCTTTTTGTTCCCACCCCCTTATTTTTCATCTGGGAAAAGGGAGAGGAAAAAGAAGAGTCTATACCAACAACTTACAGCTACAGATACTCTAAACATTTATGATTGTGTCTGAGCAATTACAAACTGTAGCCTTTACTGTAATTTCCAGAAAATTCATCGCTCATGTTCAGATACCAGGACTGCTTTGTAATTCAGCTTCTGTATTTGTATGCTCAGTTACCTTGGAATTAGTGAAGAGTTTATGAACTTGAAGTCATCCTCCTGGCTGTGGAGTAAGTTTGTAGGTAGAACTGAGCCAAGGCAGAAAGGGGGAAGTGGTGGCTACAGAAGCTCATCTCTGGTTAACTCTCTCCTGTTTCCTTGGCCTAGTGTCTGTTGTTGAATCACTTTGAGAATAAACGCTACAGCAGCAGCATCAAAGTAATCCAAAGCAGGTGTTTCTGGAGCTGTGCGGTGGTGCAGTGGAGCCTGCTGGCCTGCAGTTCCAGAGCTCACTTCTGGCACTGGCTGAGCGTGGGATCCTGTGCGAGATGATAGAGTTGGATCAGGGTTCTGCACTGGGGTCTGTTTCAGCAGGATTGGTCTGTAAAGGCAGCTCTTCACAGGGCTGCCCATCAAATTCACCCAAGAGCATTTCTTTACAAAATGCATGGGTTGCCCTGTGGCTGCCCCACTCCCACTACCACCACCTAGCAGGCACCCC